CGAATTTTCACCAAACAATAAAGTCGCGGAAAGCTCGTGTTGAGTAACATTCCAGTGCTTTCCAGTGCTGAAGTCATAAATATCGATGTTTTTCAATTGGGTAACTCAGCGGTATTCGTCTGTGCGTGAGTGCACTTATATTAGTTTCACAGCAGCATAACGAAGTCAGTCCCATGGACGTGTGTCAATTATTACAGTATTATTTTATGAGTGCGATGATCATTTAACATTAACGTACACTTTTGTCAAACTAAATAAGATCGTATTTCTAATGGAATGGTGAACTAGAAGTAATGATGACGGCACCGTAACACATTTGCAACTACGGTTTTGGTATTTTGGTAAATTTCCATGCGGTATTGCGGTTTTTTACGTTTTTCTACGCGGTTTTGCGGTTTTCGGACCCCCCTTACGCCTGCCTCTTTTTGCAAAATATTTATCTCAATCTTCTCAGATTGAAAAGCAAAAAAGATTTATTACATTTTTTGTAAAAATCCACCTACCATGATACCTGAAGTCAAAAATTATTTGGAATCTTCTTACATCGTGATGTCAGATTTTCAGATTTGTTTGCTTAGTAAGCGTGTAAATTCAGAATGGTCATGCCAAATTTGTTGATTTGAAGACAAAACAACTTCAGATTTTCTTGGACAATCTGCAAAATGTTTAGAAGCATTTCTGACCTCAAGACAATTTTTGAAAAANAGGTGTTTTCTTGCGTTTTCGTCCTGACATAAAGAAAAATTGACAAGAACGAAAGCTAACTTGCAATGAAACAACCAGATTGAGAACAGTTCGCGTGCACGAATGAAATATCACACCACAATTTGCATTACATGTGACAACTGGTGGTGAATTTTAACTAGACAGGTTAATGAGATACAAAAAAAGCTTTTTTTCTCCATTCTTTTTGCAAAATATTTATCTCAGTCTTCTTGAAAAGCAAAAAAGATTTGTTGCATTCTTTGTAAAAATCCACCTACCATGATACCTGAAGTCAAAAATTATCTGGAATCTTCTCAGATCATGATGTCAGATTTTCAGATTTGTTTGCTTAGTAAGCTTGTAAATTCAGAATGGTCATGCCAAATTTGTTGATTTGAAGACAAAACATCTTCAGATTTTCTTGGACAATCTGCAAAATGTTTAGAAGCATTTCTGACCTCAAGACAATTTTTGAAAAACCTCTGGAAATCATCAGAAATCTTCTAAAAGTCATCCAAAAGTGAAACAGTGGTGAGGGTTAGGGAGTGCTACATGTAGCCTCCCTCTAATGTGATCCAGGTTCAAATCCTGGACCTGCATCATCTGTGGGTTGGTTCTTTTCCTTGCCCAGAGGGTTTTGAACTCTGGGTTCTCCAGTTTCCCTCCTGGCTCAAAAACCAACATTTTGTTTGGGTTTGTGTCAATTCTAGTAAGCCTTGTAGTATGGCTAGAAGCTTAACACATTAATAAAGCTATTTTATTATTAAATTATTTTAGCTATTTATCAAACAATTCTGTGTTAAGATTTTTAAATTGATATTCAAAGTTATAAATCTCTTTAAGACATAAAAGGACCTAGAGAGTTAATAAATAAATATTATGACATTTTATTTATCTTTAGGTTTCGTTAAATTCTGTGTCTCAGAAGAAAGTTTCAAAGTTGATTGACAAAGTAAAGGAATATTCCAAAGGTACATGTTCATAAATGTACTAAGCAGTTGCAGAATTTGTAAATCTGAGGAATGTCATGTGTGTGTAAATGTATTATATATTGTTATATTTACTGCCCAAATTTGGGTATAATTATTATGCTGACGTTAACTCGTTTTAGGAAGGCTAAAATGACTTGCTTTTGTTTACATTATCTGATGATTATCATAAGTCCTTTTGGAACTGCATTATGTAGTTTGCTTTTATTGTCATGTTGTACATTGCCATCTTTATTGTAAGGGCACTGTCAATAGTTTCTGTTCATAAGTTGGTGTTGTTAAATAGTTTATTGTAATATTGTAAATTCTTTGTGTTCAATGCAGTTCAGGGTCCAAAACTCACAGAGGAAGTACTGTCTCACTGTGCATTTCAAAAGGAGCTTTCAGAAATGCTGGGTAAACCAGCCATCTTGAAGCATTTAAAACAGCAGGTATCAATTTTTTGTTCTTGTTACTTTTGGTATATCTATTCTAAGGCACAATCTGTGTAACATCATTTTAACCACTGGGTAATCTACATGTACATGGTCAGATTCCATGTTTTGTTTTCGTTACATTCTACCTGTAGAACGTATCTGATCATTTTGCACCAGTATTCTTGGAGTCCCTACTGTTTGGACAGCTTTCTTTCCACTTCACAGTGTGAAACTTCCTTATTGTCTAATCCAGTCCAATCATACATATGTACATGTGTGATGTTTGTACTAATAGGCCACGCTCAATACATTTCATTAAGTCTTTCTGACAAACTTTTACATTATTTTGGTCTTGCTTTCCTTCTATCAATCCTCTACCAAAGAATTACCAGCCAAAAGGAATAAAAAAAAATTTGACATTTTAGGCAGAAATTCATGGATTCATGCTAGAATTATTTATTAGGTTTTGCACATAATTATATATTGCACATAATTATATTACTTGGTTTGGTCTTGTGACTCCTCCCATCCCAGAACACAGAATGAAGAAAGTCTGATATTGCACATGCTATCTGAATCTTATTGTTGACCTTCTTTATTGGAAATACATGTAATACTATGTTATGTGGGTATAACATTTTATTTTCTCTTCAGGCTTCTCTTATTGGTCATATGGACAAGCTACATCTTTTAAAACAAAGTACAATATTTATGGAGTTTGGAGCAGGGAGAGGTAAGGGTGTCAATTGTCGTAAACTAGGTTTTGGTCTTACATGTACATAAATGTAGGTGTTGGTCATAGGTTTGGATCTTAGGTCATAGTTCTGATCCTTCGGGGTCTTAATGTTTGCTGTAGCCCATCAATCATTTTGTCAGTAGAGAAATGTTGGTGGCTGCTGCTTCACCCTTTGGCAAGGCTGGAACACAATCATGCTATTTTCACCTCTCGTGTTTAGTGTAGAAGCTGTTTTACCTGTAGCATTAGACGTGTACATGGTAGTTTAATTGTTAGTGACTGCAAAAGAAACACATTGAGGTATCACTGTATGGCAGTTAATTTAAAAAATTATAAATCCATGTATACTAAATATTATTGTAGGGAAATTGTCTCATTGGCTTCAATTGGCACTGGGGAATTCTGCAAAAGATGTAGACTATCTCCTTATTGACAGAGCAAGTAACAGGTATAAGGTATGTAGAGTGACATCACTCAGGGTTTTCAATTAGTTTTGAAATAGCCATCTGAGCTAACTAAAGTAGGCAGCAAACTAATGAATTTTTTTAATAATTTGAGTGAAAATACAGACAAAGTAGGCAGTGGTAAGGGGTAAATTCTGACAAAGTAGGCATCGATTTTCGCTGGTTGCTGGCTTCTAATGAAACCCCTGATCACTATGTGTTGAATGTTGTCCTTCAGTATCATGTTGGATAATCTAGAGTCCTTTTGAGTGACGACTTAAAATTCTACTGTTCTTGATAACTATGATCAAGTCAATGTTCAGCTGAGCTTTTGCCAATTAGTGGCATCCTCAGGGATAGAAAATATTCCACTGTGCAACTATATAATATAGGGGTAATGAGGTGTGATGTAATGACAATGCTGATGAAGAGAGTGACACATTAGTATAGTGTGAGATAATGTCACTATCTTTATTCCATGCCTTGAAAAATACAAAGGTTGTCCAGTACCTCTGCACTGTGAGCAATGGTCAGGGATGTAAGGTCTCATTCATTACAGTCATTCAGCCTGTGAACTTTACACCTGGTCCATAAAGAGGTGGCAAAATAATTTGCAAGATGAAAATGAAAAAGTGAAGAATTGTTGCTGTTCAACAGCAATTGATATTAGTAGTAATTGATTACATGTATATTGGTAATTGATGAAAATCGATCACAAACATTTTTGTGATTTAGACATGGTCTTAATAAAGCATTGAAGACAGATAAAGCATTTACAATAAATTTATTAACCATAACAATCACTTTTCAAGGAAAAGGGGACTGCAGTTGTCTTACTCAGTGAATTTGTTGTTTATTTAAGTATGATCGTTATCACAGAGGTGGAGATCAAGGACCATCCTTCCAGCGATTAAATTTGGATATTGAACACCTTGATTTAAGTGAGTGCAACATTTTATTTCAAATTACTTGTTATCCTCTTGTGATATCTACTTTGTGTCTTTTGATCCTCTATGTATGTACTTGTGATTTCCTTGGTAATAGTTTTGCCTAGACATGTTCTGTATTATGTATATCTGTACAGAACACTGTACACATGTACATAACAAGTTTCTCAAGGCCCATAATCTTCCAGGATTTTTTTTCAGGACTTTTTGCGATGCTATACATTTTAGTTAATTCCATCATGTAAACTACATGTACTATCAATGGACAGTCATTAACAATTGAAGAATGAACACTTCAGGGTTATGAATGATGTGCTCACTGTTTTGTCAACTGTTTTTTAAATTAAGTTATCAAATATCACAGACAGTGTTCCATGGCATTTCCAAACACTGAGACACAAGTTGAAAATATGACATTTAGTGGAGTATATATGATAATTTTCAAGGTGCTTGGAAATGCAAGGAGACACTTTTTCCAGTCTTTGAAATATCTTCTCAGTTGAAACTAAAACTAAGGAGAAAACAGGGAAATAAAATTGTGAAAATCTATCCTAATTAAGATCAGATATCCAAACACCATTACGATCATGATTTCCTTTCTTAAGATGTGATAAACTATTAATGTATGAGAATAGATGGGAAGGGAGGTTGGTGGGTGGGATGTGTGATGAAGCACTGCTTCTCATGTTTGATGTATATGTGGGAATTAAGGTGCAATTTTGTATAGCAATCACTCTGGAGTAGTTTGAAATGCTTTGGGAAACTGGTGCTTTACATTGTTACCAAGACTGCAGTGGTTGTAGCATTTTGTCAGTAAATCAGTCCTTTTTAGTGAGGTTGAAGAGACAAAGTGATATGATAATGCTTGTCTCAGAGGTTTGTGGTTGTGTTTCAGGTAAGGTGCCGTGTATTGAAAACAGTAAGCATCAAATTGTTGCTATCAGCAAACATCTTTGTGGGGCTGCCACAGGTGAGTTATGGCAGTTTACATAATTTGTGTGGTCCGGAACATTGCCATACCCCTTCCATGGAAGGTTCAAGGTTGACCTCCCGCTCCCCTGTAAATTTTAGTTTAGCTTCATACTTTCCTTTATAATTTTGGCCGGGCTCTGGATTGAGCTCTCTTGGTTTGAGCCCTGGCCTAGGTCATTGCATTGTGTTCTTGAACAAGACACTTTGCTCTCACAGTGCCTCTCTCCACCCAGGTGTATAAATGGGTACTGACAAAGTTAATGCTGGGGGTAACCCTGCAATGGACTAGAATGCCATCCAGGGGTGGGAAGAACTACCGTTAGTCACTTCTTGCTACGTAAACGGAGATAAACTCTGGCAGTATGGGCCGCTCGACTGGCATGATGCATACTTAAGCTTTTCTTTTTAGACTTGACTCTAAGATGCTTGATGGAAACGCTAAATAATTCGGGAGAGAGATCAGGTCAACACACAATTGCGGAAAAGGGCACAGATGATAGGTTGGTGTTGTTAAGTGTTACATGTGACTCAGAACTGGGTGTTTGGTACATATAATAACCATAATGATTGCTGGTAATGCATTATCCAGGTTATGACAAGTATTTTTCTTGGTAGACTTTTGTTAAAAAAAACCAGCCAAGTAAACCAAGCAAGACAGGCTTGGAAACCCAATAACACGAACTTCATGTCTTCAAGTCGGCCTGTATTGTAATTCATTTTCATCAATCACTCTCACTTCCTTACTGGTTTCTCTCATTTGATCAGCAAAACTTCAAAGCCATAAAAACTGTTAGGTATTAAGCATCTCCAAATCATTTTGAGCATAAACTGGTCTTGCATAACGAAAACACCCCCCTCTCCCTCCTCTGGAAGGGATGCTAAGCAACAACAACTTTATTTGTACCCAGCAATCACAGGTTCTTCCCAAAATTTTCTTCTACACTATACAGCGGCCTTAGTGGTTTCTTATCGAATATTTTGATGCATAAATCTATACTCTAAACTTGAAATTGTTATTAGAAATGGAAAATTATATTCTTTTCATCTTAATATCATATAGGGAAAACAAGAGGATGAAGTTATCTCCCAATAGCAACCGAGTGGAAGGTGTGGTATTGGCCTTGTGTTGCCACCACTGTTGTTCTTGGCCTCAGTATGTTGGTCGGCCTTTTCTTCAGAATCTTGGCTTTACAGCAGAAGAATTCCATCTGCTGTGTTGTCTTAGTAGCTGGGCGACCTGTGGTATAAGCCTCAAGAAACGACGCAAAGAATTTGCTGCACAACCTTATAATAACAGAGGTGACAATGCTTAACAATGCTTAGCCTTAAAGTTTAGTGATGAAAGTTGGCCTCGAGGTTATATCAAATTGCTTTGGCTTACGCCATAGTTTTTGAACAGAGCAAGACTCTATGTCGAATACTGCAGACTAATGGCAGGATCATGCACAATTCGGACAGGCTGAAAAAAGATTGGAAACGTTGTGAGCTGCTTTTCAGACTCGGAAAACCATTTGGGCTGGGTCGTTCAAACCCTGATTAAGCTAACCCAGGGTTAGTGAGAATTTTGATTTCAGTTTTTGTACCTTTTAGTGAGATTTTCTCTTTATTTTGTTTGGCCTTCAAATTTGGGTTTGAATACTCTTAAACTACGCAGAACATTAGCATTTAAAAAACATTTTTTTAAAAGAAAAATCAATATTATAATATTGTATTATATAATTGATATTATAACCGTTTTACCTTTAATCCTGAGTTAGCGCTAACTGGCTTTCGAACAACCCAGCCCTTGTCTGGATTACTTCGTTAAAGGAGCTACGTCACGGTTTGCGCATATTGAAAAGTTTAGCCTCAATTTTTCAAATTCGTTGTTTGTAATCCGTGTTAATCTTCTCCATCCTTAGCCATCCTTGTTCCTTTATGATTTATCATTATGTCTTTGGTGTTTGTCTATCTTATTAAACTGTTATTTTCAGGTTTCCTACCATTTAAAGGTAATTTTGTGTGTGGCCAAAATAACTCAAAATACCGTGACTGAGCTCCTTTAATACCCTGAGCTGGTATTAATTCTTCAATACAGATGTTTTTCACTGCTTCTGTTTTGTGTAGTTTGAGATTATACAAACTCAAAACTGAAGGACAAGCCATAAAACAGAAAACCTCATCAAAAAGTCACAAAACTGAAATAGCATTACTCAACAATATTGCTAACGCATGAAACATCAGCTGTTTATAAGCTTCATTTTAGTTTCACATGTGAAGCTAATTGATTTTGAGGTTTGGAGTGTTGCTCCAAGTCTAATAAGCCACTTTCGATATATTAAAATTCAGCTTGATAGCGAGGCCTAGAGGACACAAACAAAAGAAATTAATAAACATGTCATTCAATTTCCTTTGTTTGTGTCCTCTAAACCTCACTACCAAGCTGAATTTTAATATATCGAAAGTGGTCTATTGTATATGTAACATCTGCATCAAAGAAGAGATTTTCGTTCTAGGCGTGATTCTCATTTTGTTTTCTGTCTTGTGGTATATTACATCCTGGAATTGAAGACCAAAGAAAAATGATCGATTTTTGTATTTGGGTACAGTATTTGCCCCACTGCTTGAATTTATGTTTAGTTTTTATCAATGTTTTGAGTCGATAACACAGACAATGATAGTTGCGATAGTGATATTGGGTTTTTATCAATGTTTTCAGTCGATAACACGGACAGTGATAGTTGCGATAGTGATGGAAATGAGGGAAATATTTCAGAGGATAAAGGAAAGAGTCAGAGCGACGATGAAGACAGGTAACTGGCTTGAATTCCACTAGGGTACAGTTAGGTTCCATATCTGTCACGCTCTCTTGGGTCCTGTTCCCAAAGGTCATCCCTGAGAAGAGCCCAGGCTAATTTTCCTGAACAGCAGCTGGTAATCGAGCTAGGGCACACTGCACAGTGAGAAAAGCTAAGAGGAGATTTTAACCCATGAATTTAGCGATGCTGAACTTAGTGGCGCTGATGTGTAGTGCACAGAAGGACTTGGCTGTATACCAGCACTGTGTCTACAAGGTACATGTAGCTATTTGCCCGTCACCATGAGGCTTTATAGCTCAGTTGGTTACCAGCTGTTACCAGGTAGCGCTGCACGGGTTCAGATTCAGATTTCTAGTGCTTTTACAGTGTTGCCTATGCAGACAGCATGTATCGACATAATTTTTTTAGCTCGCTATGAACCAGTGGCTGTCCAAGGAAGGGATTGTTTTCTATAGTGTGATCAGCCGTGTTAAATTATATTTACCCAGGGTATTGTCTAACATCTGATGTGCCATGTGACTCTTTCAATCTTTTCATGTGTTATCAGTGAGTGAACGCGGAAGCAATGAACGGGTATAGTGGTGGACCGAAATTCACTGGCTTGGTTCCAGTAAACTTTGAAATAGCGCTTATTGTATCTATGCACATTAATTTCTGCATAATTATTAGGAGACAGTCAACATTTCGTAACCATTGTTGTTCGCGTCGGAACTTTCAACACAGTATTTCTCGCTCCTCTCAATCGAAATAGACCTTCTTAAGTTTTAAATGGGCCACAATGTAGATAACCTACGAATGTTTAACCACCGGAAAGAGGACAATGAAAATCTCAAAATTAAAGTAGTGAATTAATCTAACATTCAGAAGAAATTTGCAGAGAAGGGTTAATAATTACGTACCAACAGCAGACTATAGCTTACAACATGCTGCTGTTTACCAATCCAAGTCGCATTCACAAGTGACCTGGCGCCTTCGATTTTAGGTCTGTTTGCGCTCACCGAATCTTTGTACTGAACAGATGGCACGATAATGTGGAAGATGGTTTAGTAGTCTGAGAGTAGTTTTGTATTTCTAACTACCTTACTAATACGTGATGTGCACTGATAATGCACCATTATTCGTTGACTAAGTTTAATGATTGCATGAACAATGCGCTTATTTCTCTTACTCATATACATCTAAGTCAGAGCGAAAATGTAGCTTTGCAATTAATCAGTTGCAAAAGGAAAATCGGTTGTGACTCAGCTGGTTCCTATTGCTTTCTACAATGTTCAACTGACGCAAATTTGCGTCCGCTTGTCACCGGTTGAATGGTGAAGTTCCATATCTTTGCACCATTCTTTGAGTTTGCTCTACTGTGCTCTTTGGCCAACGCGACTTTTAAGCGACTCCAAGGACTTTCCCGGGTTTTTCACCCTGGACTTGCATTTTCTTGAAGTTCTGATTGGTTTCTTGGACTATTTGGCCCACGCGTTTGACATTTTCCCCCGCTTCTCATCATTGACTTGCCTTTCCGTTGAGTTTTGATTGGTCTACTCTTCCATTTAGCTTACGCGACTTTTCCCGTGCTTGTCACCCGTGACTTGGGTTTTCTTTAAGTTTTGATTGGTTTATAGTGTTCTTTGTCGGCAAAGCGATTGGTTTCTGTCTTGTTTTGGTTTGAGGCAGTCATGAGAAAGCCAGTCTAGGCCAATGGATGCCAAAAGAGAAGCCACAAAACTCTAAAACAATGTCGTTTTTCTTTCAGATGGTCGCATTACACCGTATCTGAGAGAGAAGAAATAGGTCGACAGTGTAAGCGGCTCATAGATGCTGGCCGTCTGTGGTATCTGGAGTCACATGATTTAAATGCTAGGCTCGCATTCTATGTCGACTCCACCGTTTCGCTGGAAAACGCTGTTCTTTTAGCGACTCCGAGGACTTAACTTTGTCGAAGAACAAAATAGATTACATAGAACTCCGCTTTAGAAAATGTATGTTGCGGAGGGGAACAATAACGTTATGTTTCTATGGGTGATGCAAGCATACTGGCCGTCACTGAACTGTCCGTTTGATCGTCCAGGATGGATGCCACCTCTCGGACCCCCGTCGGCCAAGAGGACTGGAACTTAGTTAGGACATGCCTTTATGCATAACCGGTTGGCTTTCACTGATTTGCTTGCGATTAGCTTCACTCTGGTTTGCGTGAAGTAGTAAAAGCAAATTATAATGTAAGTGTCAAGAGGTTGGTGATTCTGGTGGGTGGCATTTAATGCTCACTGTCCGTCCATAGCGCGCTAAATTTAAGTAGTTACTTGCTCGCCATTTTGAAAAGGTTGCTTTCATGCCCGTCCCTCTTCACTCACTCTTTGTTCCTCACCAGTCCATTTTCTAATTTTTTTTCCATTAAGGTTGCAAACGAATGTAAAATACCTTAACTTTACAAATGAAGTTCTCACTGTCTATAAGCTAAAAATGATAGTAAAAATAAAAATAAACATATTGACACGTGCCAGGATAACTAACTTCAGTTATAACAACTGTTTCCGATGTAGGCCCTGTGTAAATAAAATAAACTTTATGAAATAAATAAACAAGAGAAACCTGTGACGATTGAACAGAAGACTAAGACCAAGGTCAAATACTGCCAATTAAGATCAGATATCCAGACACCGTCAAGGTCATGATTTCCTTGGTTTAAGCCTGAGAATTCTTGTTTGAAATCGGTAAAAGGATGACTAGAAGTGCTTTTCCACTGAGGAAGAGCGGGAGAAACTACTTAGTCATTGCTTCATTCATTCATTGCTTCTTTCTGAAAAGATTCGACATCATAGCTGACCCAGTGTGAGAATATTTGTCGCATAGTCACTCACGACCGCTGATTGGAGTGACAGTTGCTCTGGGCGAACACCTGATTCGTCTAAATATCATTATTAGACCAAAAGGCCATTTCGAGTTGCCTATTGCCTTTCTGTCAAAACGAGTGTTCGTGCGAAACCATTCATATGAAAAGGGTTTCATTTTCATGTAAATCAAACTCATTTTCATATGAAAGGTTTTGCACGAGGACTCGTTTTGAAACAGAGGTACCAGGTAACTCGGAAATGGCTTATTTCTGTTGTTTGTATAGGTAATCACACGGTTTCGAGTTCGATTTCGAATTAATTTCAGCTTTTTGAAAAACTCACAAGTGCAAATTAATTCCAAATTGAACGAGAAAAACCGTATGATTATTAATAATAATATAAACATGAAAAAATTAGCATGAGGAAATGCCGAAAGATCTTTCTTGAAGCCATTTTTTCTCATTCTAGGAAACTTTTTCAAAGTTTCCGAACAAATTTTCTTCATCATTCTACGTGATATCATTGGCTTAGAAAATTTGCCATTGTCTTTCAGCCAATCATAATCCAGAATTAGAATGTGTAATTTGCACTGGTGTTACACTTTCTGCACTGTGTTACACTTGAACTGCACTGCTCTCAGCCAATCAGAATCGAGTAATTTTTTCATGTATATTATTATGCCAGATACTCTATTTGGCTGTGCCAAACAAACGAAAACGGCTCTCACATAGAGGGGTTTCAGCTTCGATACTTAAAATTTACATACGGCATATATTTAGAGAGGCTACAACACCAAAGAAATGGGAAATCTGAGCACTTTAATTTAAAAAAGATTCTAATATGCACACTGCACGTATTATGTGCACTTTGCACATAATAACTTCTCTTTTTCCCTGACGTGTACAGCTTGTGTTTTCTGGCAGCACATTTGTCCTTCCTTTTCGATGATTATTGTTTTCATTTTAATCTTTATTTTCTGTACATCTGTTGTCTTAATTGTACTGTATTGTTTTATTGTCAATTAAAAACAAACAAACAAAAAGCAGTCAAAAATGTCACTTTATAACTCTTCGTTATACGAGTTTGCTATCCCACTGCATTCCGGCTTTTTTTTCACGATGGCCATACACAGTTCCTCTTTCTCTCAACTTGGGTAAATATTGACATCAAAGATGAACACACTTAAACTGGATGAAATAGGTAAAACGTCAGATTGAAACTGTTAACGTCTTATTCAAACTGGATGTAACAGGTTTTATATCAGCTTCAGACTGCATGTATCGGGTTTGACGCCACATGCGAACTGAGTGTAACGGGTTCAGTATTAAACCAGACTGGATGTAATGCCATCATCAGACTGGGTGTAACGCCATCCCCAGACTGGTTGCACTGAACAGGCTTGGCACCACCACCAGACTGGATATAAACAGTTCAATGTCACTTTCGGGCTGGCTGTAACGGGTTCACCGTCGCCTTCTTCCCCCGGATTTTAAAGCAAAAGAGAGAGTTCCCGGATGGTTAAAGACCACTTTCAAGCAGCATGACAAGTGTGCCACGGTTTCCTTTTTTCACGTGTGTTGGTTTCCTTCTTTTCCATTTCCTGATGTTATTTTGCTGCATCTGTTAATCCTCTTGCCGGTACTCAAACCCTTGCACCTGCTTTCGACTAGTGTTACCGTTGTCAAGATGAGTAATAACGTAATGGCTACCAGAAGGACCGAGGACTTAATTTCTGTTTGGAAACAGCTGTAAACAAAAAAATCGTCCATGAGTCTTAACACTAAGATGTAGCCTAATGGAGGTGGGAGGGAAGGAATTATTCCGAATTTCTTGTTTAAGTTATAAATTCAAAGCGGCGTCTAATCGACGATATGTGGTAATCACAAAAAAAGGAAACAGAAGCAACGAGATGAAGCTGTAGTCGCGTCACGTGTTCTCCTCGTACCACTTCTTCGTCCAATCAGAATCAAAACCAATACCAATCGTGACTCGTTCGCACAAGTTTTCCTGCGCTTCGAGTCAGGTACATGTATTTACTTCGAGTTTTGATTGGTTCATTGGGTTATCTGTGTCCTTTGTGATTGGCTGGAGTTGGTTTTACGACATTCAATTGAAAACTGCTCTTAAGTACGTAAAGTTCCAAATGTAGAGATCCTCGGTACTTTCGGATTTAACAGCCTTTACCAGTCAATACTTTCGGAAGAGTCAGAACTTTCGTTGGTAGCTACTTCGGGCTGGCGAAAACATCGGTTAGCTGACTGTGGGTCGAGCAATCTAATAAAATAGGAATACTCACGAAAACAAACAGTCTCTGCTTTTATAACGACGGAAGGAAAATGGACTATCATTAACACTTAGAAAAAAAGGTGGTGGGTTTCTTAACTGACCTCGCTAAATTCATTTTCATTATTTGTTCCAGAATTTTCTCATTTTGTTCCTGAAAAGGGGAGGATTCGGTTAAGGTTATCTATTTTTGTTGTATCTGTTATTTTGATTACTTCTAGATGACAACTCAAATAACGTTTAGGTCGCTACTGTCGTTATCTAAGGAATGTTGCAGAAAATAACAACGTATCCATCTGAGATATTACTTCTAAGTTAAAAAGTTTGCCTATTCGAAAGTGACGTTTCAAGTGACGCTACGAATCGTAGGCCCAATTTGTTTGCTTTATTTGAACATAACGTGCATGAAAACGAGCCCGATTTATACAATCTGTAGCAACACACCGATTTATAGAATGTGTTTAAACGCGCGGATCTTTAGTATTTCCTTTCACGAAAATTGACACCCAAATACTATACCGTTGCTACAAATATTTCTGCCGGAAAAAACCGATATCGAAATCCCAATTTGGAATCGGCTGACTTTTGGATTGGAATCGCGGACGACTTCAATCCAACGAGTTGGTTCGCTTTCCGATTTATCTCATCCGGAATAGAATCGGACCGACAAAACGGTACGTGTCAGTGAGCCTTCAGAATTTATATGATTCTATTCGGTCGTATAAATTAGCCTTTTTGCTTATAACACTGTTGCTCAGTCATTAAAACAAGAAGCAAAGGAAGGAAATGAACTGGCATTCTTTCACTTACATTGATATCGTTGTGAATGGCTTGGCTTGGCTTCCTCCGTTTGAAGACGGTTGTAAATGCCTGATGACACTTCTAGCGAAGCAGTTTATATTTTTTTCCGCAGCCGGTGCTATTGACAGTACGATCTGTATACTTGTACCATTTGTGTCGTCGGCAGACTCAGCTGGCAACTCAAGCGGTGGCAAAGCTTTAGTTACAAAATATTTTCTTTTTGTTATCTTTCTCTCTTTAGCGCTAAGAAATTGTTTTTGGAAGAAGGAAATCTAAAAGTTTAACTTAACTTAACTTTGTCGAAGAACAAAATGGATTAGAAAGAACTCCGCTTTAGTAAATATATGTCGGGGGGCAGCGAGAACGTCACGTTTCTATGGATGATGCAAGCATACTGGTCGTGACTGAACTATCCGTTTGACTGTCCAGGATGGATGCCACCTCTCGGAACCCCTCGGCCAAGAGGACTGGAATTTAGTTAGGACATGCCTTTATGCATAACCGGTTGGCTTTCACTGATTTGCTTGCGATTAGCTACACTCTGGTTTGTTCGCGCTTAGCTTCACTTTGTTTAGCTTGCGGTTAGCTTTTCATTTGACGGCTAGGGCATTTTACATATATCCTTTATTTTGACGCTATATATAGCTTAAAACTTATCAAACTCTCGGCTAGCGCCTCGTTGGTATAGTGGCGAGAGAGCTTGCACAGTGTCCCGCTTTCGATTCTCGGACGTGTTATACAAATTATTGTTCTCTTTCGTTATGTAAAATAGACTTAGTGTTAAAATGAGTAGTACATGTAAAAGAAAATTATAATGTAAGTGTTAGGAGGATGGTGATTCTGGTGGATGGCATCTAATGCTCACTGTCCGTCCATAGCGCACTGAATTTAAGGTGGCCGAACACAGCTTTCGTGTGCGCTTTGCTGATGCAATTCAGCGCGCGCACAAGGATTGGAAAAAACAAATATGCCGTCAATAGAGCGATCCAGCGACACCCGCACTATCTGTGCAATTTTTTCTATTTTTGAACGCAGTGTATTGATGGCTTTAGTCTTTTATTACAAAGATATATTAGAAACGGTAACGATGCAGAGAACCCAGCAATTCTCAGCTTTTTTAACCCAGTTAAATGCAATGCATGCGCAGTTGCTCGTAAAATTGAGACCGATTGCTTTTGCAGAAACTTGCCAATTTCCACCGATTCAGTCGTTAGAATTTCAAGAAATTTGGCAAAAAAATTAGTTCAGAAAGCACGTGAATGATCTATCACAAAAAATCTGAATTTTGACGTAGGGAATTTTTAATAATACAGAACATGCAGAGAAAACGATTTACGGCGAATTACGAAAATCGTCTGTGTCAAAATTTTATTACAACAGTGTTGACAGAAGGGATTTAATGTCAATTCGTAGTGGGCAAATGATGAAAAAAATCTAACGACTGGATTTTTTTAAGGAAACAAAAACCATTTTTTAAGCCTTGTTTTTAACCAGCCCCGTTGCCATGGCAACAGCACACACCTTGCCAAAATGCGAGAATAAACCCTTCTGTGGTTAACCTTGACTCTTGCAAAAAACGGGCGCCAAAGCATAAATATTTTAAAAGTAATGGTGAATTAGTTATAAGCACTTGAAAACTGTGTTCGGTCACCTTAGTTACTTGATCGCCATTTTGAG